CCGGTTGACGGAAGCGTTCGGGAGCTTGTTCTGGGGGGGGAACGATTATTGAGACGTCATGGGAAGGGGAGTTGTTGTTGTTGTCTTGATGTTAAGAACCGATCTGATCTCACTATCCAGTACCTCCTTCTGTCCGTAGTGACCTATGTACCATAAGTTAAAATGGAGGTTGAATGCGTGTCTGCCTACTGAGTAATATGGTACGTGTTTTGTGTTTTCGTCAGGATGTCAGTGCTTTTCGGGCGTACGTGATGTGTATGCCGTGTGTAGCGTACTGTAGCTTGTTCTTTTCTTTTGTCCCGATCGACGCATTCCATCAGGAAAGGCGCGAAAGCTGATCGAGGGGATTTACGCGATCAAGTAGAGCTGTTGCTCACGCAACAAACTCACACGCATGATAGATGTAAAACACATCTACGATGCTACAAGTCAGCGCTGAGTCAGGGCTGACTTGGATGTGCTGTACATCTGGCGACGCAACAATCCATACTTCTACAAGAAAAGCAACTCTGACATCCATGTCGTCTCTCGAGCAGGGAGATGCGGCGGCGGGTTTGGATGATGATGACGACGATGCTGCCGCTGATTGGGACTATGATGTAGTGGACTACGATGGTGGCGACCTCAGCACGATGACCGTCTATGACGTGGGGCACATCGCTGAGGACGTGGTTGATTTCCACGATGACGACAATGACGACGACGACGACGACGATGATGACGACGATATCGGCAACTGTGGGGGCAGGGGTGGAGGAGCAAGAGGAGAGGGAGAAAAGGCATCGGCGAGGGGACCATCGTCGTCGCCGCAATCTTCGTCCCGCAAAACGTGGACCGGGCAGCAGCCGGGAAGGGACGCTGACGATTACGGCGACCCGTCGTCGCCGCAATCATCATTATCGACGGCGCCCGATTTTGGAGGAGAGAAGTACTGCGGAGATCTGACGGACCAAGTATCCGAGTTCATTCCCTTCAAGGGCGGGGGAGAGGATTATCATTTCCCCGACGCCCGCGGGCGCCGGCGGGGGGGGGTTCGAAGCAGGCAGGAGCGCAGCGAGAGGCACCGAAGCTTGGACCGACAGAGCGTGTACGCCGACTTGGTGATGCCGTACGGGGACCCCCATGGCGAGGGAGGCCAGGGGATAGTGTCGATCCCGGTCAAGTTTAGCGTACGGGAAAGCCAGGACGATGACGAGGACGATGACGGAGGTGGACGAGGAGGCGTTTCGTCCTGACCGGACGGGCGGACTTCGTCTTGTCACGCTTGGTAGGGAGAGAGACAGAACTGTCGATTTTGTAAACACGTCTGTTTGTTATGGTTCGGCAGAGCACAGTCGACGGCGGTATTCCACAGTGTACATGGGTACAGACGTTTCATAATACTTCTACTTATGGCCAGTCACTGTGGTGCCGATCGGTTGGGGTGGTCATCAGTCTCACACGTGCATTAGTCCGCTGGTTGTTTGTGCATATTTCCGGCCGCCTATAAGAGACGGCGTGGTGTTCTGTGATGTCCATCTTGGCGGTCTTTCGAGAGGGATGACTTACCGAAGCGACAAAGAACCCACCGCCTTGTTGAGATGGAGTTCTCGAACGTGCCGGGGTCACCGTTCTCCTCGTGATGGCACAGTACAGAAGCTGTTGAAGAACGGCAGCGTCGGAGCCGTCGTTGTTACGAATTCGACGCCGCGATGGCTGTTGACGTCTCGGAGGGTGTAGCAGTCGGCAAGCGATAGCAGTACCTTTTTCAACCTCTTCAGTGGCCCAGACATTTTCTCGTGTCAGCTCTCTCTCTTAAAGCAAGGAGATTGGTTAGGCGTCACCGACGAACCACCTCTTTGTTCATGTGTGCCCGGAGGCGTGCCGCTGGTTCAAGAGCTTGCCTCCACCAAAAATTGAGCTGGCCTATTATCGGTCGCCCCGGTAGTCTAGTTGGTATCTTCGAAAACCTTCTGGTGGCCGCCAGGGTCAACGAGCTGATCACTCAGGCATGTTGATCTCTACCACCGAACCGCCTGACAGCACCACCACTAGCAGCGATTACGAGAACACACCTCACCAAAGTAATTGCTTCGATGAGTATTGTGCGTCGAGTGAGCTCACAGCAAGCGAGGATCATCTTCATGGTTACCCTGTTCCCGTTCGACACCTGTGAGCTGACACCTGTTGCTTTAATGGTTGAAACAATCAAACACAACGCACTCACAGGGTCTACATCCATCCTCAAGCGCATCTCACCCCACCGGTGCTCAACAAATCACCAGCGGGTTCAGTTCGGTAAGCATGATCGGTATCTCCGCCAAGTAGGCGACGAAGTAGTACGCCTTCATCACGTACTGCAGCTGATGCGATCACTCGGCGGTTTCGACTGCTCTATGCATATGTGCAGGCGTTCAGTTCTTAGTTCCAAGGTTAGGGCGTGTACACCCTCCATCACGAGCCTTGGTACACACACGTTAAATCCCGCCCAAGAAACCCGTAATATTTGGCGGAAAAATTAAGGCGGAAACGGGAATGTCATTCCTTCTTTCATCCAGCCAAGTACGTCATTGGTAAAAACGCTGTTCGACTTTTCCTCTCTACCGGTTAGATCATAACACCAAAGCTCTGCCGTCACAGATGTTCCAAGAGTGTTTCGTACACCACGCCCTCGGATGCAGTGAGCGCCTTCATTTCCTCCGCGCATGAACAACAAGAGACAAGGAATACGGGAGGCCGGCGTGTGACCAACGACAGGCTACGCCGACCGTGCTGCAAAAGTCAATCCACCCCACAGGTAGTCGCCATCCGAATCCTAGCCACAAATACAGGCGCATTTTCGTCCACGTTGTATTTACAAAAAACTATGCACCACGACAAAAAAAACAAGCAAAAACGCATCTGGGATCATGAGACTAAGGCGAGGTATTTACGAAGTCTTTCCCCCAGTTCCGGTGAACCAAAACCAGCGTACGTGCGCTGAAACACAAGCGCGAGGGCGGTGTTCTCGATAGGTTTAGCGGGGAATAACCGCAGCGGCATCCAATCCAAGACGACAGCACAGCTCGAGAATCATGTCGAGGCCGCATACGTCGGAGGGGTTGCCGACAACCCTTTTCCCCCACCCATCCTCCAAGAGGCGTTCTCAGGCCCATACGCGATGACTCCACGCACGGGATATGCAACGCTCTGTGATAGCGATGGCGCCTGCGAGGGCGTCTCCAATACCAAAACTACGACCCATCCCATTCTTAGATACACGGGAAGCCACCGACTTCCGGCGTTGGCGGCAAGAACCCAAAAAACACCCTTTCGGGTCGATCACAGCATTGGCACCCCTCCATCTGTCGAGCGCTCAGTCGGCCAATCAGAGCTCGACCTTCACGTCCAGGCACAGCGCGGGAGCTCCGCCATCGAAGTCGTCCGTGCCGGCGAGAGAGATGTCGTAGTCCCCGGGGGGGGCGATGGCCGGCAGGGTGACCTCGAGGGAAAATTCGGTAGGACCGGGGGTGGCCGGGCAGGGCAGGCCGTGCAGCTCGATGTAGCCCAACCCAAGCGGCAGCTGGGAGCGCAAAAAACAGTGTACGACAGGCATCAGTGTCAGCAGTTGAGTACAGGCCAGGGGGGGGTGTAAGGTCTGACATGCACAACCATGTTCCAGGGGGTACACCAATTGCGCGAGACGCAACTGCTGACGTGCCACGCGCATTTCCTACGATTGCGGGGGGTGTGATGAGAGCCGCGAGTTAGGCGTCTAATTGCCATTCCGTCCGAGCGAAAAATAAAAATATCGCGGTACATTGCTCGGGGGAAACGTAGAAACACCGGCGATGCTCCCGCTAACGCTATGCATTCATTGCTAATAGAGGTGATAAATATTACGAAAATCGGGATCTTCAGGACTGGGTCGCTCACAGCGCAGCGGGGCGGTTCGACCCCCTCTGAAAACAGTACGTTAACTTCGCGCCCTCATAGCGCGCGCCCAGACGCATGGCGAGACTCGCGCCTTCGCACGGTGGCACCTGGTGGCCTAGCGAACAGAGTGACTCATTTCGCGCGGTCCCGATTGTGCCCGCTTTGTTGGGAATCAGTGTCGTGAAAGCGCGCTGAAACCCGCAGAACCGACGTCTTTCGTCTTCCGTTCGCAAAAAGGTGACAGTCCCGTTTTGCGGGGTTTTGGTATTTAGGTTGATGTGTTGCCAGCAGGGAGGGAAAAAACACGAACACCCTCAATAGCCAGCACGTACTACCGTCTATTTCACCTCTAGTGCGGTTTGTAGCAAGTGCAGTTTTCACGTAGTAGGTCGATCACAGTTTCTGAGCAAGCTTAACGAAGCCGCTCAACGAAGCCGGGAGCGTGTAGCCCTCTCTGCTGCTGTGGGTTCTGGATCTTTTGTTGGGCCAAAACTTCGCCCAAACCTCTGGAAGTGAAGATAGATTCGTTTTAGTCTCCTCGCCACACCCTCGCCGTGTTGCGATGCATCCGGCTACCATGTCTTCATTTTGCAAGTAGGTAGTCTTCATTTTGTGAGTAGGGAGTTGGCGCGTGTGCGATGCATCCCGCTACCGGGAGTTGGCGCGTGGGTTGCGATGCATCCGGCGACCGTGTCTTCATTTTTTAAGGAGTCACAACCGTTTTCTTTTTTTTCTTCTTGCGCCTTTTTCCAGGTTCTTGCACGTATCGTACTGCGTCATCTTTTCCTCCTGTAGTTCTGGGCTTGCGTTGTCTTCCCATGCGCACCTATTGCTACTGTACATTCGTTTGTAAGTAGTCAAATCTGATTTTTCTTTTGTTTTGAGTACTTCCTGCGAAGTCTCGGCGTTCCTATCTAATGCATATTTTGTGTTCCTCCACCGGGCCCCTCTGCCATGCGACACTCATCCTTCCCATCAATTACAACACTCCCGCCCTTGGTATCCAGCCCCACCCACCATCCACACCATTTCCCTTCCACCATCACCTAGACAGCAACCCAGAGGACGAGGGGGGCGATAGGCCCCCCACGTCCGGAGACCCTTGTTTATCCGACTGTTATCTGTGCTAGAGATGATGCGTTGTGCTACAAAGAAAACAAAAAACTCCTAACGCGTACTGTGCATACCTCGGCAGAGCTTTCCCCGCAGAGAGAGCCGCCGTGCTGGTAGATGGTCGAAGAGCCGAGCATCACCTCCAGGTTGTAGTCTCCCTCCGCTAGAGGCTTGGTAAGGGTCCCCTTGGCCATCATGGAAACCGGCTGGCCGCGCCTAGGGGCGGCGGGAGAGATGGTCACTGTCACGGGGGAGGGGCGGGGGGGGGGGGGGGGGGGGGGGGGGGGGGGGGGGGGGGGGGG